CGCCTTAAGCTTCTTGCTCGTCTACTTGTTTCGAGCCTTTCTCGAGTAGCCCTATCTCAAAGGCACGCTCGCCTACCCTAATCCGGGCTGTAGCCCATAGAGTAATCTCATAATGTACGTTTTGCTTGACTCCTAGTTCAAGTAATTTCTGACGTTGTTCTATTCCAGGGCCTCTGTCTCTGTCGTCTCGCCTGAAATTGCAAGGGCCAGCTTGCATGTATCTATTCCCTGGTACCAACACCTTTACACTGTCCCTTTTTTGTCGCTCTATCCACTTCTCGCGTATGCCTACTACGTCAAGTATGACCAGTGGCTAGTTAGCGAGGAATGGACGTTCCTTGCGTGCGTTACTCTCGGGGCTGGACATGCTCTGAGTTTCCTGGTGACCAAGTGGAGCTCAGGCGCACGTGCATGGATCACAACTCGAAAGGTACGCCAAAAACGCGCTCACAACCCCCGTTTCTCACTCCCCGCAGGCACACTCCCCACAAGAGGCCGACCGCATCCGCATCGTACCCCACCTTCACCGCGGCCAAGGCGACATCGTCTCCCTCGTCAAGAAAGACGTGGCAGACATCAAGTCGTATACATTCAGCTACCAGCGTGACACCTATACTATCTCCTCGCTGTCGCCCCTCACGTTTGCGCGTCTACCTTACCCGTCGTCCGGCCGTCCAGCGCTCAGCACTTTTCTATCACCCAAGGGCCTCACGTCCAAGGAGATCCCAGCACTTCTCAGTCTCTATGGCGGCAACGAGTTCAACATCCCCATCCCCTCGTTCACAGAGCTCTTTGGTGAGCACGCGACGGCCCCGTTTTTCGTCTTCCAGATCTTCTGCGTCGCGCTGTGGTGCCTTGACGAGTACTGGTACTACAGCTTGTTCACGCTGTTCATGTTAATTGTCTTTGAATGCACCGTCGTCTGGCAGGTATGTGTGTCAATTCGACTGAAGCTCGTAGTTCACACTAATTCCTACTTATCTCCCAGCGCGTCAGGACTCTGACCGAGTTCAGGACCATGTCTGTCGCGCCATACCCCATCCTCTGCTATCGTGACGGCGCATGGATTAAAATTCAAACCGATACCCTCATCCCTGGCGACCTCGTCTCAGTCGTCCGCCAACAGACAGAAACCACCGTCCCGGCCGACATCCTCCTCGTGCACGGCACTTGCATCGTTAACGAAGCCATGCTTTCCGGTGAATCCACCCCACTCCTTAAAGAGTCCATCCAGGTGCTTGACGCGTCCGAGAATCTCGACGTCGACGGGAACCATAAGAATGCCGTTCTCTTCAGCGGGACCAAGATCCTCCAGGCTGGTACGTCCAGTGAACTTCCATCCCCCGTTAAGACCCCCGACGGGGGTTGCCTCGGCGTGGTGCTCCGCACTGGCTTTGGCACTTCACAGGGCCAGCTCGTGCGCACAATGATCTTCTCGACGGAGCGTGTGTCCGCGAACAATCTCGAATCGTTCCTCTTCATTGGTTTCCTCCTCATCTTCGCCATCGCCGCGAGCTGGTACGTCTGGACGAAAGGTTAGTATCATCCATCCTCTGGTAAGATTTCCCTGCTGACCCTGATGCAGGTATTGAGCGGGACCTCAAGAAGTCAAAGCTTCTACTCGACTGCGTGCTCATCATCACGAGTGTCGTCCCGCCTGAGCTGCCTATGGAACTCTCCCTCGCGGTGAACGCCTCGCTCGTCTCCCTCTCCAAGTTCGCAATTTTCTGCACCGAGCCGTTCCGCATTCCCTTTGCAGGACGTGTGGACGTGTGCTGCTTCGACAAGACCGGCACCATCACCGCGGAGGATCTCGTGCTCGAGGGTGTGGTTGGCGTGAACCCGGAGGACCAGAGGGCGTTGATCAATGTCAAAGAGACGGGCAGGGAGACCACATTGTGTTTGGCGGCTGCGCATGCGCTGGTTAAGCTGGATGATGGCACGACGGTTGGTGACCCCATGGAAAAGACTACTTTGGAAGCACTTGAATGGAACCTCGGAAAGGGTACGTTGTACTCTCTTGAACGTCGTGTCCACGATACGTACTGAACCCTTTTTCAGGCGAAGTCGTCTCCCCCACAAACCGCAATGCCCCACACGCAACGAATCTGACTATGCGGCGCCGTTTCCAGTTCTCCTCCGCCCTCAAACGGATGAGCACCATATCCACGCTGCCCTCGGGGAAGACGCTTGTGGCAGTGAAAGGCGCGCCCGAGACCATCAAGTCCATGCTCACCACGATCCCGGCGCACTACGACGATACGTACAAGTATTTCACGCGCAAGGGCTCTCGAGTGCTTGCGCTGGGTATGAAGGAGATGGAGGCCATGGGTATTGACAAGATAAACAAGCTCCCGAGGGACAAGGCGGAAAGCGGACTTGTGTTTGGCGGGTTCTTGGTGTTCCATTGCCCGTTGAAACCGGATGCGGTCGAGGCTATCAAGATGCTTGCGGATTCTTCTCATCGGGTGAGTCCAAACTCCATCAATTCGAAATTTGACGAGTTGACTGCTTGTTCTTTTCATTTCAGTGCGTCATGATCACAGGCGACAACCCTCTCACAGCCGTGCACGTCGCGCGTGACGTTGAAATCGTAGACCGCGAAGCCCTCATCCTGGACCTGCGTGAAGACCCCGCACACGACGCCGACCTCGTTTGGCGCACTGTCGACGAGTCCAAGATCATCCCCGTCAACCCTGCCGAGCCACTCGACACCTCCCTCTTCGATGAATACGACATTTGCATCACAGGCGCGGCGATGAAGCAATATGAGGCTCGGCCCACGTGGAACGACCTTGTGCAAAACACCTGGGTCTACGCGCGCGTTTCGCCCTCCCAGAAGGAGTACATCCTCACGACGCTCAAGACGCTCGGGTACACGACGTTGATGGCGGGCGACGGGACGAACGACGTCGGCGCACTTAAGCAGGCGCACATCGGAGTTGCGCTGCTCGATGGCACGGCTGAGGATCTGCAGAAGATCGCGGAACGCCAGAAGCTTGAGAGGATTAAGAAGGTGTATGAAACGCAGCTGAGCGTGTCTGCAAGGTTCAACCAGCCGCCCCCGCCTGTCCCGCCTGCAATTGCACACCTCCTTCCTGAAGCCGTTGAGGCGCAACGGCGCGCTGCAGCGGATCTCACGACGGCAAGGCAGAAGAATCCCTTAGAGAAGGTGTGTCATGTCCAATTTTTTGTTAGGCTGCTGGTTGACTGTGTTCCCTCAGTTCAACTTGGCAGCTATCACGGACAAAATGGCGGAGATGGAGGGGGAGGAGGACGTTCCCAAAATCAAACTTGGAGATGCTTCCTGTGCCGCACCGTTCACGTCCAAGCTGGCTCACGTTTCAGCTGGTACGTTTTCTTTGTTCCAGGCTGCTACCTGCAGCAGCAAACTAATTGACATTTCCCTTCACCTACACAGTCACTCACATCATCCGACAAGGCCGTTGCACACTCGTGGCGACAATCCAGATGTACAAGATCCTTGCGCTGAACTGCCTTATCACTGCGTACAGCTTGAGCGTGCAGTATCTCGATGGAATCAAGTTTGGCGACTACCAGGTGACGGTCACTGGGATGCTCATGTCGGTCTGTTTCCTGTGTATTTCTCGGGCAAAGGCACGTATGCTAGGCGATCTCCTTTGGCACGTTTGCTGAGCTATTTTTGTAGGCGGTCGAGAAGCTTTCTAGGGAACGGCCTCTGGGCAACATCTTCAACCTCTACGTCCTTCTCTCGGTCCTCCTTCAGTTTGCACTGCACATCGTCTCTCTGGTATACATCACAAACCTCTCGCACAGCTACGAACCGTGTGTATCCCCACCATCCTCTTCATTCATCTCGTAATTGCAGCTGCTGATAACCCTCTTCCAGTCGCGGGCTGATCGACCTAGAGGCGAAGTTCGAACCTAGCCTTCTGAATACCGCGATCTATCTCCTTGGTCTGTCGCAGCAGGTGTCCACCTTCGCCATCAACTTCCAGGTGCGGCTTCTATCACCTCCGTGCTGCAGAGCAGTCGTTGATAATGTTTGGTCTATCTCATAGGGCCGCCCCTTCCGCGAAGGCATTCGCGAGAACGCCGCGTTGTGGTGGGGCCTCGTTGGCGCTAGCACTGTCGCGTTCTCTGGCGCGACCGATCTCATGCCTGACCTCAACAGGTGGCTCCAAGTTGTCGAGATGGAAAGCCCCGTGCGTTCCCTTACTATTGTCCCCATCGACGAGACCACTCACGTCCCTTTCCACGCAATAGTTCAAGTTGAGGTTGACCTCCATGATGATCATCGACTTCGTCGGTTGCTGGGTGATTGAGAAGACCTGCAAGTTCCTCTTTGCCGATCTGGAGCCTAAGCCTATGGTCACTCGCGGGCGCGAACGGCGCGAAGCACGGAGACGCATTGAAGAGGCCAATAAGGCTGCCGCAGAGGCGGCGGGCCAGGTGAGCGAAGCAGAAAAAAAGGCTCAGTAGTTTAATATCAAGACTTGTTTATAATGCGGACAATTGGCTTCAAACTACTCTGTCAGAGTGCAACGCCACCACCGAAATGTCTTCAACAGCCCCAGCAAGCGCGTCAAGTTTTCGCATCATCTTGTCGTGCTGGCTGAAACGCGTGGCTGATAACATCTTCGGTATAGCCCTGCGATACTCCTCCTTGAGAGTGTGAACCAATTCCGTCAAGGGGAACAATGTTTTTGGCCGCACTGCGCTTTGAGCTTGAGATAAGAGGCGTTTATTTTGCCGCCAGCGAAATGCACGAGGAAGAAGACCGTGCGTTGGCAATGACATGCGGTCAAAATAGACTTAAGAATACATTCTATATTATTGGTGTAGCGCTCAAATTGCGGCCGTAGATTCGAATTCCAAAGTCACCAGCATGCATGGGCTATTGACCAGCTCATTTCGATGATATCCACGATGTCCAATCCGGATTTTTATCAACACCTGCCCACCACACAGACCCAAACTATGCGCCACATCGAGGATATGCAGAGGAGATCTGGTAAGCATTAATGGGGTAGTGGTAACCTGGGTCGTTGCCATAGGAGACGTTGTCTCGACCCGCCGGGGGTTCGATTCCCTCTTAATGCAACGCCGGTGTTCTTTTTGCATCTGACTATGAGCGAGCCTCGAATGACGGCGACGAGCCTTCTGACGGTCAAGAACACAAGGGCTAAACACAGCCACGTCTCTGAGATTCCGAGCCATTTGGCCCCGCTTGCATAGCGAGTCCAAGGTGAACACAGCAGTTTACCTGCATGCCAGGACTGGGCAACTGGCTCTTGGCTTATCGTAGAATTGTCATCATCGTATAATCGTCCTAATCGTACTGGATATCTCAATCGATATGATGGCAGTAGAGAAGATGAAGCTCCAAGGTCGCACTGAATACAACCGCGTAAACCGCACTATATGTGACGTATAAGACAGCACAAACCGCTGCTGTTGAAATGTACGTGAAGAGACTACTTGGTACTGAACAGTGAGGCTGTCAGTGGATGGAACGATTTGGTACAAGGAAAGTGGCCTGATCCATTTACCATTTACGGCAGGTGCCACCCAGCCAAGTGAAGATCGCGTCGCACGTTTTATTTATTTAGTACAATCTACTTCGAACCACGACCACCACCACCCTCTTTTCTCCCAACAAGCCATGTCGACCGATAAAGCAGCCCGCCGCGCCAAGTTCGAAGCTGTCTTCGAGGATATCCGCGAGGAGCTCGTCGAGCACTGTAAGAAGGAAGGCCTTCCTACTGAGGCACTGGAGTGGTATCGCAGGGTGACTACTTTGTGTCATTCTTCTCATTTCATCCGTTTCTAAACGCTCATTTTCCAGAATCTCGACTACAATGTCCCGGGCGGCAAGCTCAACCGTGGTATTTCTGTCGTCGACACCGCCGAAATCCTGAAGGGTCGATCGCTGACCGAGGATGAGTATGTCAAGGCAGCAGTTTTGGGCTGGTGTGTTGAGCTGGTACGTCCCATACCATATCCGCGGACACAAAGGATGGCGAGGGCTGAAAGCTCTTTCATAGCTCCAGGCGTATTTCCTAGTCGCCGACGACATCATGGACGCGTCTATCACCCGCCGGAGCCAGCCCTGCTGGTATCTCGCACCTGCCCCTGCTGTCACCGCTCCCTCATCCAGCTCAACACCCGTCGTACCCTCCTCCACACCTGCCTCTTTGGCGACTGAGAACATTTCAATTACCTCTGCATCGTACAAACACCCCTCGGTGGGCATGGTCGCGATTAATGATGCCTTCATGCTTGGATCCGCGATCTTCCATCTGCTGAAGATTCACTTCCGCTCTCAACCGTGCTACATTGACCTCGTGGAGCTCTTCCACGATATCACCTACAAGACGGAGATGGGCCAGCTCGTTGACCTCGTGACCGCCCCTGAGGGCGTTGTCGACCTCGCGCGGTTTTCGCTTGAAAGGTTGGCCCCAAATTCCCTTGATACCCCTGCAGCTTCGCGCGCGCGTTTTCTATCGGTTCATATATGAGGGATCCTTACTAATACTGTCTGCTACAGACATCGCCTTATTGTCACATACAAGACCGCCTACTACTCGTTCCATCTCCCCGTAGCCCTCGCCATGCACATGACCAATATTCCCGAGGCGTACAACGTGAAAAATGCGGATGGCGTCAAGACTCTCAAGCCGTACGACCTCGCACTCTCGATCCTCATCCCTTTGGGCGAGTACTTCCAGGTGCAGGACGACTTCCTCGACTTCTCCGCGCCCCCCGAGATCCTCGGCAAGATCGGTACCGACATCGTCGACAACAAGTGCTCTTGGTGCGTCAACACCGTCCTGGGACTTGTCACCCCTGAGCAGCGCCTCATTCTCGATCGCAACTACGGCCGCAAGGGCGACATCGAGGCCGGTGCTGAGGGTGCCGACAGTGAGACGAAAGCGCATGGACAAGATGGGGAGGCTGGTGGCCTGTGCGAGAAGCGCATCAAGGAACTTTATGAGGCTGTCGGCCTGCGCAAGGTGTACGCCGAGTATGAGGCCGGCGTGTATGGTCGCCTCAACGAGCTCATCGATAGCATTCCGGAGGATGGTGAGATTATGGATGAGAAGGGCCAAAATGTAGAATCGCACCGTGGCTTGAAACGCCAGGTGTTCAGGAGCTTCTTGGAGAAGATCTATGGCAGGAGCAAGTAAAAGTATTTCCTGGAGCCAACTAATCTTTTTGTTGCGTTGAATTGCTTATTGTATATGCGGAAACTAAATACCATGTACCTCAATCTTGACAAGGATATTACTTAGTGGCACCGTCGTGTGTCGTCGTGTTCATCGTCGCGGTGGTGTGGCGGGTATACTTGCTTTTTTAGAGGTTCTCCCAATGGTGGGGCCTAGTATGTTTATCACAGAACGGGACGGTATTTTATCAATCAGCATGTATAGGAGAAGACTGGTGGCAGAAGGCGCACAGTACCAGCGAAAGGAGATTATACGAATATTCCGCTGGAGCACTGACAAGTGACTCAACACTATTCCACCGCAACGATAGAATCAAGCCCTGCGAGACCCACATCTTCTCCTTCCACTTGCGTCGATAGCGTAAGCGATTTACTCCGCTCGTGCTGAGGTTTGGGCCATATTTCAGAAGTCGTTCCGTAATAGCTATCAGTAGCCGAGACCATCTGATTTGCGTGGTGAGGAGAATTAGGCCTTTAGGGTCCGTCCACCGGCGCCCATCCTCCAGGTCGTGGCGTCTAGCAGCCCTGACGCGCTCGTCGAACCATTCTCGCTCTGTAGTCCAATCGGTCGCGTGCGCCATGCTTGCGTTGCTGCCACCCGCCATGAAGTGCGCCGGGGTAAGGGCGGACACCTGCGCGAAGAATTGAGTGTCTTGAATGCGCATTTTCGCGTCGTGGCGCGTGTCCAGATTTGGGGACTCCAAGTCGTCCTCGCTCCAAAATGGAACTGGATCAGGAGGAGTGAGCAGGCTCTCGGTTAACTCGGCGTTGGCGGCGTCGGTTGACCAGATGGTGGATACAGGAGCCTATGGAGACAGGTTATCACTCCATAATGGCCGCTTCCACACACATTGAGGAGAACATACATACCTGTGATGGTAAAGTAGAACGATGTAGGGCGCTTGAGTACGTAGCAACACGAATTTTCAAGAGGCCACTCTGGCGTAATTGAGATCGAAACGGAAGGCGGGGTCGCACCGCCCATGGTTGGCGCAGCAATTGGGACACTCGGTGGGAAAAGGCTATGATGCCGTAGCGCTCCCACTCACGACGGAGAAATGGAAAACGCGGTGGGAAGAGATGTGCCTCCTCCCTGCTGGCAGCGATCGCGAGAGCGAAATTGCCGCAGAGCAGAAGGCGGAGGTGTGGCGATCGCGCCCGGGGTTCCTAAAAGACGGTTTCGCCGGATTCTCCAGTTTCCGCGCCTCCATGGCGCCGCTGGCCGATTGCGACAGCAGTGAAAGTGTACTGGCATAATTCATCGTCCCATCCGACGCCGACCACAAGTACCGGACGCGGCGGGGAGAACCATTCGGGCGACGCGAGGGACGGACTGTGGGTGTACGACTGTTCGTGTCCTGCTAGCAAGCTGTAGCCTTCGATGGTGGTGCCGGGAAGAAGCTGGGCAAACACGATCTGGCCAACCTCGACAGGTGAAGGGAGGTCTGTAGCTTAGTATGGAACAGTGCAGATAGGCATGTCACAATTCTGTTGCAACGCGCAACAGGGCACCCACCAGTCAACGATGGAAGCGAAGTCTCCTGTAGGGCTGTGCCGTTGTCCGTTGTGCGGACAGCACACTGCTGGAACTTTGTCCTCCATTTGGCATAGTCAGGAATCTCCTTAGCTGACAATGACCGCGCATGATCGACGAGAAGCGCATATTCTGCTGGAAGGCCCAAAGCAAGCCTGGCGCCTTTGTGGGCCTTTTTCTGTTCACGGACTTGACGCTGTCGTCCGACAATGGTTCCATGATGCTCGTCATAGCACGGGAGGCTACCTCTGAAGAGGGATATAAGGGTATACGTAAGAGATTCGAGGGCATCGCGGTAGCTTTGGTCTGACGCAAAACAAAATCCTTGTCAGGTCTGCATGGCTGCAAAGCAAAAGTCCTCACCGAGCCCTTCATGTGAATTGAGACTAGCAAACGACAACGTCCCGCACACGCCGACAGGTTCGTCTGGATTTGACTCCGCGCGATACTGTTCTGTAAGATCCGCCTTTGGTCGACACGCAAGACCGAAATCAATCAAACAGACTTGCGATGAGTCGGGGGCCTGGAAGGCTTGATGTCCCGGTGGACGATACCTTGAGAGTGTACATGATCGAATGCGGCGAGCTGCGTTGCAAGTATGTTAGCTACAAGTACACGCGTAACTGGCACGCAATCTTACCAGCTAGTCCGTGACGTCAAGTACGGTGGTCAGTGAGAGTGGACCGGATTGTTCAACGACGTCGCCAAGGCTCTGGTGAAGCAGCTGCAGTGATAGGAGCTCGAAATGCTTGATTCTTCCGCACGCGAAAACTTGTGGAATGCTCGGGTGTCCCGAGAGGAGCTTAAGAACATTGACTTCGTGCTGTAAAAGCGTACGCTTGGCGCGAGATTTTTTGAGCGCGACTGCGCGGCCTGAATAGCGCTCAGTGGCGTGGTACACAATGCTATTCGGTCATTTCACAGGTTCGAATTCCAAGCAGGCTGGACTTACATAGCCTCCTGATCCTAGCTGGTCTCCTATTTGGAGGGCGATCTGCCTAGCGAGAGCGAAGGGCCCCAAGCGCTCCGCTATGCCGGAATCCACCTAGTTTATGCGTCCTAAGTGGCCCTTAGTAGTCTAGTACTAGTGATTAGATGTGGTTGTAATTCGAAGCAATCTGATTATCAAATCTCCTGATCGTTGGCCTCCTATTTTGAGGGTCAATGGAAAATGTGTTTGTACGCGATGAATATATTTTCATGAATGCACATATTTTACATAGGACTCAGCCCGGGACATGATTGCATGATAACCCAGCCCATCTAACATCTGTAGTTCCCGGACTGTCAATTTCGACACGTACAGGGGGAAAGGGGGGGTCGACACATACCCGCCTAGTA